AGAGGGCAGGGAAACACGGAATATTTTTCATATTTATATTTATTAAATGTGAAATTCAGCATTTTCCTTGGAAAGTTGAGATGCCTCTAATGGTAACATACTATTGACATGTGTGCAGTTCTCTCTCCTTCCGGTGTTTTAACATTAATATTAGATACTAAGTTCCATACTTGAATCATACTGGGAAATTGATTAATAGGCTTCAAACATAGTTCGGAAAATGTGAAAATGTTGCCCAATCTTTCTTATTGGATACTCCACAATGTGTTGAAAGGAAATTGAACACAATGATCCTGTGGTGTATCACTTCCATAATCTCTGTAGGAAGTGAGGTGCTTTTACACTCCATAAATGCTAATACTTCTTTAACAGGGTCTATCTCACCACATGCATGCAGCACGTGTGTTATTAAGGATAGAGACAATTTAACTCAAGATGTATGGGGGATTCCTTCATCCCTAAGCCAAGATCATAGCCGCTAATCCTCGCGCCGTTATTATCCCAGACTGAGAAGAAAGAAATGTCAGTCAAAGGTGTACCAGGGAAAATGATTAACAGCATAAGGGGGGATATAAAAGTTCGAGTGGGGGGGGGTGGGCTGAGCAGGTGGAAGAAGCAGAGATGGAGGAGGAGGAGGAGGGCTACAGATTAAAGAAGCTCCTAGGGAAAGTACGCAGAGCAATCAACAAGGACAATGTCGAAATCTCCAATGTGTGTTTTAATTAATTTATTGGTTTTTATTTTTGGTGTAAACTCACTCACAATGAATTCTTTTAAAGTGGGAAGTTTAAATGTGAACGGAGCCAGAGATGAGAAGAAGAGAGCATCTATTTATGAATTTAAAAAATTGAAGTGTATTGATGTTCTCTTCTTACAAGAAACTCACAGCGACAGCACCAACGAGGCCGACTGGATGAGGGAGTGGGAAGGGGAAGTCCTCCTGAGCCACAACACCAACCTCAGTGGAGGAGTGGGCTTCCTCTTCTCCAGGTCTTTTAATCCACTGTCACTGGAGGTCAAACACATCATCGAGGGGAGGTTGTTCTTAGTCAAGGCACGGTTCGACCTTTTTACTGTTGTTTTTATCAATGTGTTTGCTCCAACAATCGGTGCAGAGAGGAAGCGTTTTTTACAAAAAATTGATAATGTTTTAAATGGCTGTGCCCCGGAGGATTTTTTATTTTTTGGGGGGGATTTTAACTGTACGGTAAATGATTTGAAAGACCGTAATCACGCAGAGCCACATCCAGCTTCCCAGCACGCTCTGAGGCAGCTGGTCCAATCTCATGGCCTGGTGGATGTGTGGAGAAGGATGCATGCAGACTGCCGACAGTACACGTGGTCCCTTTTTAGAGAAGGTAGGATCTCCTCAGCCAGGTTAGATCGTTTTTATGTTTTTAAGCAACATTTTAATATTTTTAAGATGTGCAGTATTGTCCCTGCTGTTTTTACTGATCATTCTTTGCTTTTATGTAATGTTTTTATTGGAAACGTTTTACCTAGAAGTGCATATTGGCATTTTAACTCTGTATTAACTTGTGATAAAATTTTTAGAGAGGTCTTTGTTTACTTCTGGGGTGTTTTTAGGCTGAGGAAGAGTGAGTTTAGCAGTCTTAAACAGTGGTGGGACCACGGGAAGATTGAGATTGGGCTCCTCTGTCAACAGCACACCTTCAACGTCACCAGAGACATCGCTAGATCTATGAAGGACCTGGAAACTGAGATAGTGGAACTAGAACATTTAAGCGAGTCCACAGGAGATCGAGGACATTTTGAAGTCCTCAAAGGGAAAAAAATGGCTCTGGCCGACCTGTTTAACGTTAAAGTCCAGGGTGCACTGGTCAGGTCCCAATTTCAGACCATCACAGAGATGGACACTCCCTCTAGCTTCTTCTTCGGCCTGGAGAGGAAGAGTGGGCAGGGGAGGGTGATCCACGCGCTGTTAGGTGACGCAGGGCAGCCGGTTGTGGAACCATGCCAGATTAGGAGGCGAGCTGTGGCTTTCTTCTCCTCCCTATATACCAGTGAGTACGGGGAGGAGGAGGCACTGATGGAGGAGCTCCGCAGTGAGCTTCCTCAGGTCCAGGAGGAGACCAATGCAACGCTTGACAGGCCAATAAGCCCAGGGGAGCTGAGGGCCGCCTTGATGGGCATGCAGGGAGGGCGTGCCCCGGGAATTGACGGCCTCTCGGCCGAATTTTACAAGGCGTTCTGGGACATCCTCGCCGATGACATCCTAGAGGTGCTAAATGACAGTCTGGCCTCTGGTTCCATGCCGATGTCCTGCCGCAGGGCTGTAATAACGCTACTGCCAAAAAAGGGAAACCCGCAGGACATCGGCAACTGGCGCCCTGTGTCCCTGCTGTGTGTGGATTACAAGCTCCTGTCCAAGGTCTTTGCTTCCAGGCTGAGGGAAGCTATGGAGCAGGTCATCCATCGGGACCAGACCTACTGTGTGCCCGGCAGGTCCATGGTGGACAATGTCTACCTCATTCGAGATGTTTTGGAGGTCTCCAGCTCATTGGGCAATAACACTGGCCTGATTTCTCTAGACCAGGAAAAGGCTTTTGACCGCGTTGAGCACAGCTTCCTCTGGAAGGTCATGGGGAGGTTTGGGTTCAGCGCTGGTTTCATAGCTAAGATCAAAGTGTTGTACAGCGAGGTTGAGAGTGTGCTGAAGATAAACAGTAGTCTGTGTGCTCCTTTTAGAGTGTATAGAGGAGTCCGGCAGGGTTGTGCTCTGTCCGGGATGCTCTATGCACTCTCCCTGGAACCCCTTCTCTGCAAAATACGCTCTAGCCTGGAGGGCCTGGTTTTACCTGGTTTTAGTAGAAGAATGATTTTATCGGCGTATGCCGACGATGTTGTTGTTTTTATTAAAGACCAGAGGGATGCAGACCTTTTAAATAACATCGTGAAAAGTTTTAGTAAGGCATCGGCAGCGAGGGTGAACTGGAAAAAAAGTGAAGCCCTCGCTGTCGGTGAATGGCGTGGCGGCCTCCCAGTTCTTCCCCAAAGCCTAGTGTGGAGGAAAGATGGCTTTAAATATCTGGGGATTTATCTAGGACAAGAGAGCATCGTCCAGAAGAACTGGGAGGGCGTCACAGAGAAGATAGAGGGGAAACTTTCCAAATGGAAATGGCTGCTCCCTCAAATGTCTTTTAAAGGTAGAGTTTTGGTTTTAAACAACCTGATTGCATCCCAGCTGTGGCACCGTCTTACCTGCCTGGACCCTCCCTCAGGCTTCCTTGCCAACTTACAGAAGAAAATGGTGGATTTCTTTTGGGGGGGTCTACACTGGGTGCCACAAGGGGTGCTGTTTTTAGCCAGAGAGGAGGGGGGACAGGGCCTCGTCCACCTGGCCAGCCGGACGACCACTTTTAGACTCCAGTTTTTACAGAAATATCTCACAGGTCCGGAGTTTTTAGTATGGAGGGACGTGGCCAGCTGCATTTTTAGACGTGCAAACAACCTGGGGCTGGATACTGCTCTGTTTTTAATTGATTCTAAATTTTTAAAGTTAAATGGGCTACCTCCGTTTTATCAGGGTGTTTTTAAGTCTTGGGCCCTTTTTAATCATAAAAGGTGCCCACAGTCTTTCTCTCTGTACTGGTTGTTGAGAGAACCTTTGATCTACAGAGCAAGGCTGGACATCAGCAGCAGTGGTACCCCAGGCCTGATGGGGGCGCTGCTGAAAGCACGAGTCCTGTGCCTGCAGCAGCTGGTGGACGCAGTGGGGCCGACGCTGAGCGACGCCCCGGCCCTGGGCTCTCTGCTGGGGCTGCACTCCGTCCGGATGGCGAGGAGGCTCCTGGAGCTGTGGAACCAGAGGCTGACTGAGGAGGAAAGGAGCCACCTCACAGACTACAGCCAGAAAGATGTGGAGCCGGACCCTGCAGACCCCTTCCCCGAGATCTACCTGAGCCCAGGACTAGGGGAACTCACCGGCCCCCTGCTCGCCACAACACGCCCCGAAGCGCTGACATTGCACGAAGCAGACAAGAAGACTCTGTATTTTAACTGTGTGAAGGGCATAAACCGGTCCGGACTGTGCGACAGGCTCCCCACTGTGTGGTCCAACAGACTGGGACAAAATGGACCGGGCCCACAGTGGAGGATTTTATACAAACCTCCCCTCAAGAAACGGACTGCCGACCTCCAGTGGAGAATTTTACACGGTGCTGTCGCCTCCAACGCTTTTATTTCTGTTATTAATCCCACTGTTCTGAGCAAATGCCCCTTCTGTGACCTCCGAGAGACTATTTATCATGTTTTTACAGAGTGCAAGAGACTTACGAGTTTCTTCTCTCTTTTAACATCGGTTTTTAGTCTTTTTAATGTGGTTTTTACTGAAAAGATTTTTATCATGGGAGCTGCCTACAAGAAAGCAGAAAAAGAAAAGTGGCAGCTCCTCAACTATCTTTCAGGGGAAGCCAAAATGGCCATTTATTTAAGCAGGAAGGCCAGAGTGAAGGACGGAGAGGGGCAGGAGGCCAGGGCAGTGTGGCTGGTGAACATCAGGGCAAGACTCTG